GGTCGCAATGAAAGGCTAAGAGAAGAGACCTGCAAGGGCTGCGGAGGCCAAGTGGCCATGCTGCAACTCTGACAACAGGGTCTGGAGACCATGGCTGGCAAGTGGAGAATGTTGGAATTGGTGGCTGGTGATCGAAGCCTCTGCAATAGGGCCAGTGACCCTTGCAAGGGGACTATAAGTCAGCAGACAGCGCAAGACTATGGCCAGAGCTCAGTGGTCCTTGGGAAAGATTTGGTAAGACCTAAAACCAAAGCCGTAGTGGTTGGCTTGAAGCCATGGCAAATGCCCAGTGGCTTTCATGAGAGACTCGGAAAGAAATTGAAAGCAGTGTGACCACCTGAAGTGAAATGGAGGGGACAGTGGTGCTTATGCTAGAGGAGGACTAAGGATCCAGAATCATTTGAAGTCTGTTCTAAATGTAAAGACCTGGGAGTAGCTAGTGTGTGGTGTTGGATGTTTGGTGTTCTTCATCCAGAATGAGAGTCGGATATGAGGGGGTGAGTCTGGCTGGCTGGTGAGAGGGACCAGCTTAGGAGGGAGTAAGTTCTGTGTGGGGAGGGGGAACAGAGAAGCGGGAGACATCTCTCCAGGATATTTAAAGGAGTGAATGAGAAACATTGAAGTGGGATGGTGGAGCCCTCTGTCCCAAGAGGAGGGAGATCAGTTTGGGAGGGGAAAGATCCCCTTGAGGATCTAGGGCAGGACAACACATTAAACTGGTGATAGTCATGGGTTGCTACAGGAACCAGAGGGCAAGCCATTACAGGGAAAGATACTCTGAATGTGTAGTACCGATGGCATGTTCTGAGACCTGGCTGCTTCTGGAAAGGATTGTTCCTCTCTTGGAGATGTGCACAGCCAAATTAGGGTTTGGCACGGAGACCCTAGGGCCGGGGGTGGCAGTGGTAATCCAAGAACCCCTTCTGGCCTTCATGGACCTAACTCCCCACGTTTCTGCTTGTGAGATCCTGTTTCTGAAGCTGCACTCACTGGATCAATTGGTGCTGCTGTATCAGCCTCTCTGTTATGTGTCAACTCCCTGCCTGAACTACTGGAAGCCATCTCACAGTTGGCAGTGGAGTGCCCAAGGCTCATGGTCCAGGGAGACTTCAACCAGCCATACCTGGGTTTGATCTTGGAAGTAGCCCAGGAGTTTATGGCCACCATGGTGGCTATGGTCTATCCCAGATCATCTCAGATTTAACTTGGGACAGTGATCACTTGCCAGATAGGAACTTCTTGGAGCAACGGCAACATGATCTGGGACAGGGATCTGTCAGCTCATGTTAGGTATCCCTGAGATTCTCTTTTGCCCCCCCCCCCTTCACAGGGAGGCCAGACCTATTCAAGTGATCCATCCTCAATGACTGATCAACTCAAATGGGTTCGAGAGAGAATGGGGGCTATTCCAGGGGCTTTGGTGCATGATGCTGCCAAAGCTCTGGTTATGTCCTGGAACCAAGGGACAGTTGAGACTGTCCTGAGGCCAAGATCATGCCTGTGCAGCCTCTCTTGATCCATTGTTCCCAACATTCCCTGTGGTTAACAATCTACAGGTTTTTAAAAGGGCTAAGGGATGCCTAGAGCGCTGTTGGGAGGAAATTTGGGAGGGGTGAATCTGATTGGTTATGTCGTAGAGCTGCTATTAATGCCTACCTCATGGTGGTAAAAGAAACACCAAATGCAAGAAGCATTTTAAGAAGAGATAATGTCAAGTAGAAAATTCAGATGGAGGAAAAAATTGATTCATAAAGGTTTGAAGCGGTTTCCACAGCTGAGCTCAGCTGAAGAAAGGATATGCTGTACATAGTGTGGAAAAGTTCAGAAGAATTGAAAGCAAAGAGCCAGTGACCATATGACACACCGTAAGAAGGCCATTCATATGATGGCTCGAATCGCATGGATGCTTATTTGGTTGATTTGAAACAACCAACAATGGAGAGCAATATTCAATTGGGTTTCAGATTCTTGATTTTCAATCCATGCCCCCAACCCTGTTCCTGAGCCACAGCTGGAGCTGCACTTGAAACCCAGCTGAGCACATTCAGAGAGAGAACCCCTATGTTCAACTAGATTTGGGGGATATAAGCAGGGGTGGGATTCTACCAGTTCACACCTATTCGCTAGAACTGGTTGTTAACATTCTAAGCAGTTCGGAGAACCAGTTGTTAGAAGAAATTACTGGCCTAATCCTGTAAGGAAGGCAGGAAGGAAACATTCTGGTGTTGTTTACAGAAACTGCCTCTCTGTTAACCCTTATTACATTCTTGGCAGGACTAGACTTCCTGTCTCAGGAACTTCTCTGGAGTATTTTTCTCCTCCTTTGCTGGTACTTGTGTGGAGTGACCATTCAAAGTTACAATGGCACTGAAAAAAAATGACATGATCATTTTTCACACTTAAGACTATTGCAACATCCCCACAGTCATGAGAGGCTAGGCGAGGAGATGCATGCTCGATGTGAGTGATATTAAGTTGGCCATGCTCAGCCAATAACATGACCACCAAGCCATATCCACCCAGTCACATGACCACCAAGCCACACCCACCAAGCCACGCCCACAGAACCAACCATACTGCCACATGCCTGACACCAATGCAAAGCCTTTCTCTGTTCTTTTCTTCCTTATACCACCAAATTCCACATCTCCTATCGGTAAGATAAAAGGACCCATCCTGCCCAACATAAACAATAGGTGAACAACTCCTACTCTGGCCAGTGATGCTTTTGATACCACTTAGCACCTATCAAGCTCTGATTCAATGGTCTGTCTAGCCGCCTGCTCCCATCCTGGAGTGGCACTTAAGAGATTCCTTGAAACATAGAATGAATGAATCATTTAGAGATTCCTTGAAACATACTTGACCAAGGTTGTCTGAATTTTTATGCATGACATTCTTTACATGCAACCAATCATGGATAAAGATTTGCCTGAAACGCTGGGGTACAGCCAGTATCTCTTTATAAAGCTATTTCCCATTAAGTTTAATATTCTATAGGATCAAAGGAATTCAGTCTTCGTACCAATACAGGTACTCCTTGACTTACAACCACAATTGAGCCCAAAATTCTCTATACTATTCATGCTGTTTTGTATTTGTTATGGATTGCACCAGTAGATGCTAAACCAATTTTGTTGTATACATGATGTACAATGACAATAAAGGCTATTATTATGGCTATTATTATTAACATTTCTGCTGCTCAGTGAAACATTTGTTGAGTTTTGCCCTATTTTACAAACTGTCTTGCCATAGTTGTTAAGTGAATCACTGCAGATGTTAAGTAACACAGTTCTTAAGTGAATCTGGCTTCCCCTCTAACTTTGTTTGTCAGAAGCCCACAACATAACAGTGATCATATGGCCCAGGGACACAGCAAACGTCATAAATATGAGTCAGTTGCCAAGCATCTAAATTTTGATCATGTGACCATGGGGATGCTCCAACAGTCTTAAGTGTGAAAAATAGTCATAAATCACTATATCTATGCCTTTGTAACTTCGAACGTCACTAAATGAAATGTAAGTCAAGGGCTAACTGTATCAACAGATCCAGATGGTAGCAGATATACTGTACATATTATAAAACTTAATAGTTAACAACTTCCTCATTTTGAGCATGACTCCACTATTTCTACCCTTTTGTGAAGTTTTCCTGGTAATACGAAAAAATAGTTTGTGATGATTGCTTTTTTCCCCGATTTTCTAATTCTCCAGGCTAGACAGAGCCTTGAATTTTTTGGGGTGACTGCCTACCTGCCTTCTATCCACGTTCATTCTGCGTTTAGTTTTTCTGTGGGTTAGTGAACTCCAGCTCGTTTCTGCCATATATTGTACTGCAAGAATAAAGAGCTGTGTTACAGAACTGAGCTAATCCAGATAACAATCTTTTATTTTTTTTCCTTAAAATTGGTATGTTATTAATTCATTTCTACATTTTAAGAGTTCTGTACAATTATCAAAATGAAATAAACAATGTTTAATGTGAAAAGTGAAAAAAAGTAAATTAGGAAAAGTTTGAATAAAATTGAACAATTTGCTGGCTAGTACAAACTGATAACAGGACATCTGAAGGGCAGTTATCACTGCAGTATAGATAGATGAAAATGAAATAAAATTCTTATTTTAAACAAACATATTACATATATATGTCTGTGTTTGCATGTTGTGTGTGCATGTATATATATATTTATATACATATATATAGCATAATATAATACAATATTTATTTATATGTTTCTATTTTACAGACTAGACCCAGTGATAGCTGCAGATTGTAAAAACATATTTACAAATATTTTTTTAAAAAAACCATTTCATGTATACCAGCACCATAGTTAAAAAGAGCAATCCCCCAATATTAAACAGTATTTTTTATTACTTGGTCCCAGTTTTAAAGGATTTGGAGGAAAATTTACAAATATAATAAACTTTTTATGAGTGCATTATCAAACACAAAGTTAATTTCTCTATTATTCTAATAAAATGGAACTTACTGGAATTTGTGTTAATGAAACTCATGTTTTAATGTTGAAATTCTATAGCCCCTTACCTGGGTTTAGCTCAAAGAAAATGGAACCTATTTCTGAATAAACATACATAGGATTGCACCATAAGTCCTCTCTTATCAATCTTTCCAGGAAAGAATATACATGTGCGCACGCGCGTGTGTGTGTGTATGTATGTATGTATACATATACACGCACATATACACATACACATATACATATATATGGTATTCAGCTTTGTTCAGGTATTTTCCCACATCATTATAGTTGTGCTTTTAAAGTTGTAGCAACGTTTCGGCAGAATCTCATCTGCCATCATCAGGCTTCTGTATAGTGTTATAGACGAACACTATGATGATGGCAGATGAGATTCTGCCGAAACGTTGCTACAACTTTAAAAGCACAACTATAATGATGTGGGAAAATCGCTGAACAAAGCTGAATACCATACATAAAAATACCCGCGAGAACTTAAGAATATATATATATATATTTGAGGGAGATGATAAAACTTTCACTTGACTTCTTTTCTAATTTTTGTATATGTAACTGGTCACATTTTTCAGCTTCACCTGACTGCTGCAGTGCACAAAATGTTCATTCTTTTCTCCCTTTCATCTGAATGTGGTATAGCTGTATTAAATAAATTTAGTAAATGTATGAATTAAAACTTCTTTGGATCTTTGCATGCACTCCGATGTGTGTGCTATGATCAGAACTCAATTTGGCACACTGTGCACTGAGTGCATGATAAAATTTATTTGTTATAAGCACACAATTTTTTTGGCCAAATGTCAAATCTACCAATGTGAAAATGCATTGGTCAATCTATATTTTAGTACTGATAAGAATCAGCCAAAAAAATCTGCCAATAATTTAAGTAGGATATATGCCTAACTGTGTACAGGAATTTTAGACCCATTCCATTTAAATCTTATATCCCAACACAAATGGGCTAAATACACTTTAAGTATAACACATAACTAAAACCCTGCCTCCCTCCTTCATTTTTCAGGAAAAGCTGTTTCTAGAGGAGGGAAATTATGGATAAATGAGGTGTTCAGTGTTTCTCTACATGCTTTTTGAGCCTTTTGAAACATTTCTTCCCATATGCACGGTAATCTTATCCTGCAAATGTGTAAGAGATACAATCAGAGAATGTCAGGAACCAGAGAATGAATGGCTGCAAAAATAGTAAAGTCCCCTCACTATCTGCTACTGCTCTACCAAAAAATGTTATCTCTAAAAACAAAACAGCTTAGATGGAAAATTGTATGTAAGAGAAACATATAAATCAGACCCTGAGAATGCTCTGGATGTGGATGTATTTAACATGAACCCCACGTTCAACTTACAGATAGGTGGTCACACATTCAATTTCCAATGTTACAAATAATGCCAATCTAAACTCTTAAAAGGACCTAAAAGAATTGCAGTTAAATTCTAGTACTTCAAATTGCACAAGTCTATGAAAAATATTTGCAATGTCAAATGCTTATATACAACTGCTACTAAAATTACATCAATGGATTTTAATTTTTTTTAAAAAATTGTTTTTCGTTGATCAGCTTAGTCATCATTTTAAAGAGCTTAGGGCTTGTAGAAAGTAGGAAGTGTAAAAAAGAGGGCATGTGTTTGAAGAACATAGACCATAAACTCACTCTCAATCTGTCAAGGGTGTTTTGATAGGGGTGCTCAGTGTACTGTATATGACAGCCAACACAGTTATTGGCCCCTATCTGTGTGATCTTAAGAGCAGTTGCTCCTTGATTCTCCTGATGTCTTTGGAAGATCAAGCCAACAGTTTGTATAGCGCAACCTCACTTTATCCTGTATGTTCAGAAAAAGAACACACTCCATATCAATTATGTCATCTCCTTAGACCTATCTCCCTTTTCCCAATTACTTTTGTATAGCATCACTATCTTTGGAGGCAGCCAGTGAGTAATACAATTATTATACAATACTGCTTGTCCTACACTGTGTTTTTCCTCACACGTAAAGATAATGAGTCAGGAATCATTTGATTATGCAGGAAATGGACAATAGAGAAAAGATAAACTCTTTTACTAGAATCCATCATGCACCTTAAGAAGCATTGATAGGGCACTGACTGAACTCCTGCAGCTCTGGTATCATTGTCATCACCACATTCAAACAACCTTTATGTAATTCTCTATCAGATTACACACATTGCATGGAAAAGCTTGGTATTTATTAAATTCAGAGTTAAGATCTTTGTATTTGTCACTTGTACAGTTGCCTACCTTTGACTCTCCTGCATTATCTCAGAAGCCGCCTGTTCTGTATCCTGAAAACTACAACAGCTCTTAGAGAACTGCATAGAAAGTGCATTGTTATAGGACTGCCAGTGCTGTGGCACATGGAAACTGCCTGACACTTTCTGTGGCCCATAGGCGGAAAGCAGCACTTTTTGAGCTTTTCTCTCTCTCTCTCTCTCTTTCAGTCTCTCTCTCTCTCTCTCTCATTCTGACCTGCAGCAGATACGCTATGGCATGGAGACTGCCGTGGGAAGTTGGCAAGGACTTTTTGTCATTGCTTCAAATTCCATTTATGCCTTCACAGATCAGCTAGCATTGCACAGCTTTAAAAACAAAACAAAGAAACAAGGATGGACATCATCCTGCTTTCCTTTTTTGACCTCACAAATTTTGGAACTGAACATCTCCATGTGCTATGGATTTCCAAACAGTTCATCAAGTTCTTGTATCCATTCATCTCCTGGACCACTTTTAATGATGGAGTCTACAAGATCAGAGTTTTCAGTTATATTTGGAAAAGATCCTCCAGTTCCTTCACTGCTATAGCTATAAGATATGTCTTGAGTGGGATTCCTCTCATAGATCTGACCTTGGCTGCTCTGAGTGAAGCTACTTCCTGGTATTTGTTGTGCAGATGACTGATTAAAAACAGTTAGAGAAGAAACTGCCTGACTTATTGTAGGCATAACCATTGATCTGGATTGATTATTGGTTCCTTGTTGTCCAGGGAGTTGTTGCAACATCTGTCTCCCTACACCTGAGTTCAGTGTCCGTACGGTTCCATTTGTGTCCATTATAGATTGACCAATACTTTGAGGAAAATGTTGCTTAGGCAGCCTTGGCTGACTTGATTGCATTGAGTAAGCAGATCCATTGTTGAAAGATCCGATTTCATTGCTAGTCCTTCCCGGGATACCTTGCAGTCCTCTTGCCTGCCAGTTTGCTGTTCCTTGTGGGACGGGGCCCATCATATTTTGAAGCCTGGGGGCTTGTGTTCTGGTCATAACTTGTCCCACAGGTCCTTTCATTTGCTGATGTTGTTGAGCTACCGCAGAGTTTACTAAAACATTTGGACCAAAGCTGCTGACTATGCCAACTCCTTGGGTTGAGCTGGGCTGCCTTGGCCCCTGACTTGGATTGTGTGTTATATTTATACTATTTTGGTTTGGGTGCTGCAACATTTGGCTCATTCCTGAGTTCATACTGTACATTCCTGGCTGGCCAGTCACTGGGCTGCTGTAAGGAGTCATCCCCATCTCAGTCTGGCTACCTGTTGCAGAGATTGCTGCAGTGTTCTGAGAAGCCCCCAAAGACATCATACTAGCATTCTGAGGTATCATTCGGGAAGTCCTCATGCTCTGAAGAGCAGTCTGATTTCTTACGGCAGCTATATCTTGTGGAGAACCTACAGCAGCAGAAGGTAAAGAGTTATAGTGAATTTTAGTGTACTGAAAGAAGCTGCAGAAATTATTCAGGCAGCTGGAAGAAATTGGCAAAATATTTTTGCAAAATATATGCAAGAAATAATCTAGACATTTGTAATATTAATATTCAGACCTATGTGAATACCTCCTAAACTGTATTGTAAGCTCTGACTTGCAACATTCTGATTGAACAGAACATGATGTTAGAACAGTATTTTGCTCAACTTACAAGCAAGGTTACATATCTCTAGAAAATGCTACCAAGAAAATAACTTTACAGCCATGTTAGAAGGTAGTAATATGACTTTTACATAGCAAATAATTTCTTTATCTAGTACAAATAAAACCAAGCTAAAGAGGTGGATTTTTTTTTTAAAGTATCTCCTGGTGGGGTCTTTTCCAGTCCTACTTGGAAATCTAAAAATTAAACATGAATAAATTGTCTCCAAATATATTTATTGATGTATTCAAAATATGTATCTGGCCCACCCATTTTAAGCAATTCTGAGTGGCTAACAATTAGGAACCTCTAAATCCCCTAAAATGCTACAATTCTATCCTGGCTTCATCTTCTGCATATCATCCCTGTGATAACAATGATCTCCTCTGGTTTTCTTCTAAGTAGAACTAAAATAAAAATATGGTTGCCACAGATTGAGAACAGAATAATATGTGGTAATTTTACAGTATCTAAATATTTAGGGCTGTGGATTAGAAAGCAAAAAAGGCTTCAGGGCACAAATACAGTATGTACCAATAGCAGGTTATTCAATACTTGTACCCCTGCATACTCTGAAGCACCATTTGACCTTCAAATCTGAAGAACTGCACAGCTGTTGTTCTATATTATCATGTTACAATCTTGTTTAAAGTTTGAGGATAAATGTTTTCCTGTTTTCAAAGAAGCAGAGGCTGAGAGCCTGATTCAGATTTTACATTATTTAGCGGCCAGCCAAATGCTGAAGGTCATGATTACAAGGGACTATAATTATGCAAGCATTCATTAGAGATCTATTTGAAAATGAAGAATTGGATACGTAAACAATGATCTGACCATTAACTACCCAAGAAACTCTTTAACTATTCCCGTTATCTTTTTAAATGAAAACTGTGTCAATTGCTGAGATGTTAATCAATTTGTTATTGCTTAATCCACATGTGAATGGATATTCTATAGCGTTGTTTCAAGTTATGTCTACAGAAAAGAGAAGAAATGCTTTCCCTCCCTAGATATTTTACACAGAGATGGTGTATTAACAAATCAATACTGTAAGAAGGGTGGGGGGAGAAGGAGAGGGAGAGGGAGGAAGAGAGGGAGAGAGAGACTAGGCAAGGTCTGATTTAATAATCTTCAAAAAACATCCTCCTTAGCATATTATTACCCAATCCATATGCATCATTATACATACTGATCAAAATGATATCAACTGCAATCCCTGATGTAAAACAGGGTTAGAAGATTACAACAAATTATGCATGTTGTTATGCCATTAGATTCAATGTTTCTTGTGAAATTAATAGAGGATTACAACATTTTTATCTTGTAAATAAACTGGAGGTTTTAAAAATATTCCATGCAATAAAAATACTTGTTTTGAGTTACAGGGGGCCAGTGATTAAGCAAAAAATAATAAGTATTATATTAAATGTACATAAAATCGACTGTTTTAATAGCATTCTATAACTCCTAAATATTATTTCCACATAGGCTTCCTTCCAAAGAATTATTTAAAGAAAAAGCTGGACAAGAACATGTGGCTTGCATATAGGAAGAGTGGTTTCCACAATTGTGATACTTTCAAAATGGCATCATCAGGTGGCTATTGCCATTTTGTACTTGAGTCTGGTCATCTGATGCAAGTAAGTAAACTGCAGCACTTGTGTGAAGATATTGGGCATTGTCAGCATTTTCCCCATTTTTCTGACTGCACTGATATTCCACTGACAGTGTTCTGCTAATCAGGGTTATGTAGGGTGAGGCTGGAGTTTGTACAACTGACTTACAAAGCTCTTAAACGCTAGTCATCTTTCAGGGTGTTTATGGCTTCAGAACTAACCATCCTGAGTCAATAGTCTGCTTGATTAAAGCACATTCGCTATATTTAAATATTTTAAAAGAGGTGTGGGGAGAACTTTTCTGCTGTTAAATTTCCCTTGGAAATATTTTTTAATCAGGCTTTATCCAGCATCCAAAGTATCAATTTCCCCCACTGTCTGTGATACCCTTCAACCAGAAGTACTGTATATTCTCCTTTATATTCCTAGCATTTCATAAACAATTGAAATCATTATTCCAAGGAATCTTTAGCCTCAGTCGATCTGATCTGATCTATGGACATCTATCTTAGTCTTTTTAGCCATCTTGTTACTTTAATTATTTTTATTCAGGTTTGTTCTATATTTTCTGTTTGACATCACATTTTATTCCTTATGTTGATGCACACCAGTAGTGGGATTCAAAAAAATGTACTACCAGTTTGTGGGCAGTGGCTTGGTGGGCATGGCAGGGAAAGGATACTGTAAAATCTCCATTTCCTCCCCACCCCACTAATCTGCTTTCCTTTCTCCTGTGCAGGGCAACAAAAGAAGACCCAGCCGATCAGCTGGGACTCGGGAGGCAGAGAATAGATGGGGGCAGAGACAGAGGTGGTATTTGCCGGTTCTCCGAACTACTCCGAATTTCTGCTACCGGTTCTCCAGAACTGGTCAGAACCTGCTGAATACCACCTCTGATGCACACCATCCAATCTTTGGGATTGGGGGAGTTTATGATACTGTAAACAAACAAATACATTACCATAAACCCAGAAACTCTCTCAATTATATCTCTACCTTCTGCTTGGAATGGGAATGGGATGGATTTACATTTGAAATCGGCCATCCTTTTGACTTAGAAAATGTCTGGACTAGTCCTTACAGGTTTTTTGGCAAGATTTTCCAAAGCAGTTTGCCATTGCCTTCTTCCTGGAGCAGAGAGAGTGACTGGCCCAAGGTCATCCAGTTGATTTCATTGCCTAAGGCAAGGGCCTTCAAACTTGGCAAGTTTAAGACTTGTGGACTTGTCAGCTAACATGACTGGAAGAGGAATTCTGGGAGTTGAAGTCCACGAGTCTTAAAGCTGTCAAGTTTGAAGACCCCTGGCCTAAGGCAAGACTAGAACTTTCCATTTTCTAGCTCGGTGCCTTAACTGCTACAATGAACTGAGGCTACCTCCACTCTCATTAATGGCTTGCAGATTGCGGTAGGGCAGACTGTATGTAATGAATATGCTTGCTTGTTTCTGTCTCTTCCTGCCATCTGGCATTACAAGATGGTTAAATTTCTAATGCAATATGCAGAATATCTAAGAGGATCACTCCACTAATCAGAATTGTTTGTATTTTTTCAGCAAAGAATTTTTGTAACCAATCTTGTAATTTAGGTTTTTTTTTAAAGTATTTTTTGTGCCTGTTGACAGTGAAAAGAAGCAGCATCTAGGGCTGTATGGTGACCTGGATTCAAAGGGTAATGGGGGTGGTGGTGTCAGAACACATCCAGATATGCTTGTTATACCTGTCAGCAACTCCTTAAGTCAAAGATATCTTTTCCTGGATAATAATAGCCATGTGAGCCTAGAAAGAAGTAAAGAAATCACAAATAGATGTGAAATCACAAATAGGTGAGCCTATGTGTGCATATCACCTTTTTCTTCATTATATCCAGATTGCTGCAAAGTCTGAGTGCTGCTGCCTACTTGTGTTAGACAAGATTGTTCCTTCTGAAGATGCCTTTCTAAAATAACAAAGTCGTGGCTGTTTTACATAGATAATCTTTATATACAGAAATAGCATGTAAACATCGAAGAGTTAGCTTCTGAACCTAGTATTTATCTCTCACCTGGAAACTGAGTGACTGGTTGGACTGGATAAGCATTTCGCTGCTGTTGCTGAAAGTGCTGCCGAGGCAAATGTGACTGCTGCTGTAAATGCTAGAAAAGCAAAAGAAAAGGGATTAAGAAGGGAAAGTTGCCCATTGGGTTGCTATGACAGCCAATAGCAGAGCACTGATATGTGGAAGTGGCTAGTGAAGTGAACAGAAGATTGCCTTGCATAGATCAAGGGATCTGACTCGATTCCAATATTCTATTTTGTATGCTGGCTGCAAACCGGCCACCCATGGTGGTATCTCTGCTTTCATTATTTAGCAGCCCCTGGCAGCTTATAAGAGATTTGGCTGTTATCTTGCTTGGTATGTATCCATTTTATGTTATGCTATAGGAGAAGAACAGGCACGGCTGGGGGCAGAGTTAAACATGTCATCAACTTAGAATCCTTAAGTTGCTACAAGTGATACAAGTCCACACCTCCTTTAAACCTCTATCTAGTGCCAATTAAGTGCTGACCATTAGTTGGCTAGATTCTTGTGCACAGTCTTGAATACATTTTATGTGCTGCAATTTAATACATGGTCCTGATCCTTTGTGCCTGACACATACTTTTCAATCTGTTTATTTTAACTAATAATTAAGTTTAAAATTCCTTGATTTACTGGTGTGCTTATTATCATTGGATCCAAAAGAACCAAATGCCTGGACATGGGATCACTGACTGAAACCTGGCAACCTGAAGTCCACAAGTCATAAAAGGGCCATAGCTTCCTACTCCTGCTTTAAACAAAATGTAAATGCTAGCCATAACATTTCAAAGGACAAAGAAAAGATAAACTATGTGAGAAAAGTAAGGAAATTTTGCCAAAATGTATTATATTAAACATGGCTATTTTGGCATCTAAGTGAGAAAATTGCAAAGGAATTGTTTCCTAAAGGTAAAAATATAATAATTATAAAAGCTGTCGCTTTTTAAGACACCAAAATAATATTGACCCAAGACAAATATCCTACATCCAGTAGTACTGGTCTTTCAGCTTTAAAGAGAAGTTGGAAGGATGTAAACTTTTTTTTATTGTGGCTCTTTTCCCCCTTATTACTTTTCTTTCTTATTCCTAATTTACTGCAGTCATGGAAGTCCTCTACTTATGACCACAGCTGAGCCCAAAATTTATGTTGCTAAGTGCAAGAGTTGTCAAATGAATTTTGCCCCATTTTACAAACTTTCTTGCCACAGTGGTTAAGTGAATCACTGCAGTTGTTTAAGTTAGTAACCCGATTGTTAAGCGTTAGGAGGTTTTTTTTCCTCAGAAGGTCACAAAAGATGATCACATGATCCCGGGACACTGCAACTGTCCTAAAGATGAGCCAGTTGTCAAATGTCCGAATTTTGATCATGTGGCCATAGAGATGCTGCAACGATTCTAAGTTGAAAATTTTTTTCACTGCTGTTGTAACTTTGAACAGTCACTAAACGAACTGTTGCAAGTCAAGGATTACCTGTACTTTAATTCTGCCTGCCTCAAAGGAACTTTTGAGATACAATTCAAAGTGCTGCAGAACCCCACGGCTATCAATGTTGGGAACAGCACAGCACAGCACAGAACAGAACAGAGGTGGAAGGTCTTCTAGTCAGTCCCCTCCTGCTCAAGCAGGAGAATCTATACAATCTCAGTCAATTGACTGTCCAGTCTCTTCTTAAAAGCCTCCAGAGATGGAGCGCCCACGATTTCTGTTCCACTGGTTAATTGTCCTCACTGGGAGGAGATTTCTCCTTAATTCTAGGTTGATTCTCTCTTTGATTAGTTCCCAGCCATTTCTTGTACTGCCCTCTGGTGCTTTGGAGAATAATTTCACCCCTTCTTCTTTGTGGGAGCCCCTCAAATACTGGAATACTGCTATCATGTCACCCCTAATTCTTCTTTTCTTTATATTTAAGATATGTAGCAAAATGATACACAGTACTTGTTCCGCCAAGATGTGCTGCTGCTGCCGTTGCTCCCTTAGAAGAAATTGTTGCTTCTGCTGCTCCATCATATGAAGTTGGGCCCTTTGCTCAATCAGCATCTGCTTCATAATGGCTGCTTGAGGTTGGTTGCTCAAGAAATTGGCATTGCCAGGATTTGTGCCCACATTACTGGGTCCTGAGGGTACAGCGGACTGCATGGGACCTGTGGATCGAGACAATGCCACAGTGTGCTGGTCCTAAACAATGAAATATATAAAGGTATAAGTTAGATAGTATACAGGTATACTGTACATTAAAAATAAATATATTAATTATTCTCTTTTGCAAAAATTAGAATAATGAGGAAGGGAACAGAAAACGGAAAGAGCAATGCCAGAAGTCAGTCATCAACTTAATGCTCTTCCTGTGACTTGGAATAACTATTTACCTAAATCCCACTCAGTATCCCATTGCATTAAGTTCCATGTTTGATATGAAAAAAGACCTGAGAGAGTTTCCAAAGAATTATAAAATCTGGACATTGTTATAGAAAATGTTTCCTGGCACAAATGCCAGTAGAATCTCTAATGATGTAAACCCACAAAATAGGGTCTTTCCAAATGATTCGACCAGATTAGAGACAGTATAAGGTTTACTGCAACGTTTTGTTTGAATTAAACTTAGAAGTGTTAGGAGCTGGTAAAACTTCTGTAATTAAGAAAGTTGCATGCTATGGAAAAACAACTATAACAAAACCAGTTGCTGCGATGTTTTGGATTTTAAACATTTGTGAACACTTGTATTAACCACTCTGATAACAGTTTTGCAAAATACAGAATGTATGTCAAACTTACTTTCTGTGTTGGTAGAATACAGAATAATTCATTACAAAGCAAAGCACATTATATCCAGAATTTCTCTCTTTTTAACTACACCAATAAGTGTCTACCAACAGGAAAGAAAATCTCTTACACATAACATTGGAAAATCAATCTTAAATTGTCAATGGTGATGAGCACAATAACAGATGAAGTGTTTAGCCCAGGCAAAGAGTAAAGGCCAAAAATATAGAAACATGGCCTGAATTAGAAAAGGGCAGGAGAAAAGGATTAAGAGGTAAATCTGAAATTAGATATCAACAACTTTGAGATTCAGATACAGGAATTTCGAAGTCTACCTAAATTTTGATTTGTTGGATTTATGATATGTAAATAGATTAATCATGACTCTAATCATTATTCTCCCTCTCTCACATATATTTGATTGAGCTGTGTGGCCATATACCTTTTTTTTAAATAAATCAAAATAGAATAAATGCAGGATTGATATGTATGAGAAGTGGCACAGAGGTTGGATTAAAAACAATGATAATCTCTTTCAAGCACAGCTCAGTCTTCTTTTAACTTCTAGGATGTCAATCCAGTAGGTTTCATATTAATTTGTACAATCATTGTGAAAGAGTGAGCTGATCATGTAGCAAAACGATATCAGATGTTTTTTTTCCCCTATCTATATAATCAGTCTCCGTAGTTTCATCATCATAATCTCTAGATAAGATGAGGTTATGAAAAGGGCTTCAGCATGGAAACTCACTGAGGGAAAGGTTATTATTATGATACTTTTCCAGTTAAGGGTATAGCTGTAAAAACCTTGTCCTACTAGGTCGTTACCTTTCAGAACATTTTTTTCCACTGTGTTTCATGATGATTAGAGGAAACTAACTAAAAATGGACTGTTTTTAAACTTACAATGATATTTAAATAGTGCAAGCTCATTATGACTGAATGCAGGATTCAAGAAAGTAATCCTTTTGAGTTTAAAAAATATTCTTGTGAGTGCTCTTGTCTTGCCAATCTCAAACCAACATATATATATATATATCTGCAGACTTTGGCCAGAAAACTCCTAAGAGGGGGCTGAAATAAACCTTTGTAGCAAAGCACTTTGACCAATAGCAATGATCATACAGCAAAGATGCATAATAGGAAGCTAGAATTTAATTAGCCTAGAAAGAGAAAGTCAGAGGAAGAGATGTGCCTTTTAGAAAACATATTCAACACGGCATCTTCTCTTTTGTCCTGAAAGGTTCAAGTGGAACTTGAGAGGCATCTATTGCAGCTCATAAGGCTCTGAGTATTTTTAAAAGCTTCTTAAGCACCTAGTAGTGGATATGTGCTACAAAGGATGCCAGTGTATTTGACTTTTCCTTCTAAATCTATCAAAACTGCAGGTAGCTCTGGATTAAGAGGAGGAGTACGAGAACATCTACTTGGCTAATGTTTCTCTAATGCACCAGCAGGTGGCATCATGCACCCAATTCTTGATGGCTTGTGTTAGCCTATTGGTGACTGATTGCTGCCCTGGGCGCTCTGCCTCCCCCCCAACCCCGTTTCCACCCTCCCCTGTGCTTGCAGATGGCTTAATCATGACTACTGTTCCCTCCCCCTCCTCCTCCCCCTTAGTACTTCTGGGATAATGCTGCTAACATTCAGCCAGCCAGTCAAGTGTTACAGCACAGAGCAGGTAGCCTGGCAACTGAGAGTATAATACTGAACAGATGGTGTTCATACAGCATGATGGACATCACACACAGCCGCCTGAGACAATCCAGGAATTCTCCGGTGGTTTGAGGCCTCTTTACACAAAAAACGTGCTTGCCAGCAGCTTTGGGGATAATTTCCACCCTCTCCCTCCAATCTGACACTGAACCACTGAAATGATTTCTTATTATTTCTGTTTTGCTAACTGCATGGAAGGGACAGCAGTCTGGTGGCAGGTGACATGACAGATGGAGGGCGAAACTCAGGGTATTGTGAATTAATAAAACCTTATGTTA